CGGCGTTTCACCTCCCGGCACGGGATCCGGCACACAGCTCGGCTCTCAGGCAGCTTGTTTACCTGCCAACAGAGCGGGTAAAACCAGAGGAGAAACAGAGCGGGACACTGCACCAGGGCCCGTCCCGACAGCTGCTTAGGGCGTGTGGAGGGCAGGGGTCACAGCGAGCCCCTTCGAGGGAGGGTGGAATCTTTCCCAACAGCCTTAACCCCAAGGAACAGCTCCAAGCACACCCTCGGGAGCCCTGTGAGACCCCGAGCCTGGTGGTCCCACACCCCCTGTTTAGTGGGGCTGGGCTGTGCGTGGGGCCTGGCGTCACTGGGCAGAGGGGATGGGCACTATTTTATTTATGTGCTGCCCCGTTTTCTCCTGCGAGGAGTGGGTCAGCAGGGTGCTGGGGACAGACACGTGCTGTTTATTCATGGTTCAGTGCCCTGCCCTTGGGAGCTGCCCTTGCTAACTGGCTCTCTCCCACCCTCTCCTCTCAGTGCCGCAGCTGTGAGTTAAAGGCACCTCATCGGTAGAAAATGGATCTAAAATCTTAGGAATCATAAAAAACCCAAACCTCTTTAAGCTGTTCAACCAAGAGAAGCATTTCCAAATGTGAGCAGTGAGACAAGTGTGAGCCCCGCTGTGCTGATGGAAATCACCTCCACCTGCCCTGGGCACCAAACACTGCTGCAGGGAGAAGCTGGGAGAGAACCAGCTGGATACAGGATTGAACAGCCCTTCACTGCCCAGGCTGTGAGTGAGGGAGAATATAAAACAGCTCTGTGTCAGAAGGGTTGCAAGGTGTCCTGCTTCTGCATCTGCAATGCTGTTAATAGAGGCCTTGTCAAGTAATTATCCTTTCATTATGAGAAGTGGAATTTCCCAGGGGAAAATGAGCTGAAGGCACGGTGTCCAGAGCAATCTGTGCCTGGGCTCCCTGCAGTGCAGAGTGTGGGGAACAGAGCTTGGGGCTGGGAGGGGGACAGCCAAATCCCCCCAAGCTTCTCTATGCCTGTTGCTTTCCTATCTCTCAGGCAACAGGACTTACACAGGTCATGGGTATAGTCCAAGGCTGTACAGAGGTGTATGCAACTTGCTGAGCTCAGGTAATAAACCCCAACGGTGGATTTATTGATGATAAACAAGAGGAGCAATAAAAAACTCTATGTCTGACTGCCAGCACCCATGAGGGTGCAGCATCAGATGGTTGCAGGTGCCAGGGTTACATCCAGCCCCATGTCCTGGATGCCAGGGCAGAATCAGCCCTGGGAATGCACCAGTACCAGTCCTGCCCTGGGGCTGGTGATGGTCACCTCAAACACCAGAACTTTGGCTCCTCCAGCCAAGGTTGCTGCTTCCCAAAGGGGGTCCCAGCACACTGGGTACCTCAGCACAAGGTCACTGCTCACGCTGCCACTTCCCCTTGTGTTCCACAGATCCTTCCCGGCCTCTACCTTGGGAACTTTGTCGGTAAGCGGAACCCAGATGCTGCAGAGATGTCCTCCAGCTGGGGAGTGGGGCTTGCTCGAGTTGGTGTCTCCCTGCCTGCAAACTCTGCCTGACACCCTGCCTGCTCCCACTGCCCTGCCTGCTCCTGCTGACCTGCCTGTGCCCACCACCCGCTCTGCTCTGCCACCTGGTTTGGGGTGGCAGCAGTGGATTGGAAGCATTGTGGGGAATGCAAGGCAGAGACCCTCTGCCTTTGTATGGTTTCCTGATTTAAAGCTGCCCTGAGCTCTTCAGACACACAGGGTGAAGGGGCCAAAGTGGGGGGAAATGGATCCTGTGCTGGGAGCAGAGGAGCTGGTGGTGCCACACCAGTGCGAGGAAGCAGGACTGGGGCACCTCGGGGTGATGCTCCCCAGTTTCACAGCTATAGGAGGGAGGGAGCTGCTCACCCTCAGGAGGGAATTTCTCCCAGAGGCAGAATCGCCCCTTCTCACACCAAGTCACCATTTTAAGGGGTTTTCATTACCAGGGAACAATTCGTGACGAAGGCTTGGCATCTGCCATGAAAAACCAGCATTTATTGGTACTCCCACCTCCCTCATGAATCCTTTGGCAGCTTGATTCCTGCAGTAAACTCTGGGAAAGTTTAAAACCACTAGTGTGAAATTGCTAAGGAAATGTCACTGGAATGGCAGCCCTGTACTTCCTGCACCCCATGGAGCACCTTGGGGTGGGCTGGGGGGGGCTGTGGCTTGCTGGGAGCAGAGTGACAAGGGTATCCAGCTCCCAAGTTCATCACGGGGGCTCCTGTGAGCAGCTCTGCTGTGGGGTCTTGGCCTGATGCCACCTGAGCATCGCTCTGCCAAGCAATCCAGGGTGACAACAAGATTCCAGGCCCACAACATTAAGCTCACAGAGATGTTTTCTCTAACTGGAAGCTTTTCCAGCCCCTGTAAGCCTTGATTCCAGTGTCACTACTTGCTGTCACTGCCTGCTGAGGAAGATGGGAAGGTGGTGGGTGCTGTGTGAGTCCCCACAAGGGTCCCCACGTCCCTCCCCACATGCACAGCACAGTTCCCCCACAGAGCATCTCCCTCGAGACTCACTCCTATTGAAATTCACATCATGCCGTTAGCACATCACAGTCTGGATTCCTGAGCCAAGGTTTTACACCACGTGAAAGTTCAGAAGCCCAAAGGAATGAGATGGGCAAATGTTCCTCCTCCTCTTTGGCCACTCTTGCAGCGTCTGCTGGTCATGGCGTGAAAGGGAGACACTTGGAAGTTGCCCAGGAAGACGTCCATGCTCCCCTCCCAGCACAATAACTGTTGTGCTGCACCAGAGACCAGGATCATGGCCAGGGTGCTGAAGGGTTACTGAGAGGCAGGGCATATTCCCCCCAGACAGCTGAGGACACCCCATTCCTGTTCTTATGGCTGCAGAGAGGGCACACCAGAGCACTGCAAGTCACTGCTCATGTGTTTTCTACAGAAAACCAAGAGTTGATATGAATTACTGCAGCTCCACTTCCATAATTCACAAGACAAAGCAGATCCCTCAGGCTGCAGCAAGTCCCAGCGCCGGGTGTGTCTGCCCAGGGAGGTGCAGGCAGGGCATGAATCTCCTCCCAAACTGGGGACAAGTACAGGCAGGAGGGACACTGCCACAGAGTGTTTCTCTGCAGGTGTGAATGCTTCCCCCAGCATGAGCAGCGAGGGCAAGTGCTTTTACAGGGAGAGGTCTGTGGTTTGGGATCACGGGGTTTGCATTCCAGATTTCTGTGTTTGCCCATGTCTGCGCTGCTGCACGTGGGGGTGGGATGCAGTTGATCTGCTGGAAAAAGGCTCTGAGTGCTGGCTGGCTGCAGGAGCACGGTGGGTGCACTGTGGGAAGAGAAGGGTAAGAAATGAATACATGTTGGTATCTAATTTTATCCTTTAGATGCCAAAGACCTGGAGCAGCTAAGCCGGAACAAGATCACCCACATCGTTTCGATCCATGAATCCCCCCAGCCCCTGCTGAAGGTAGGATCCTGCACCCAATACCACCGTGTGGATCCCTGCAGCTGCTTCCATGCTGCATCTTCCTTCCCCCTCTGAGCATCGCATGGCACGTACACCTCTCCCTGGTCACTGCTCCCAGAGGAGCTGGACAGCCCCCCCGGCATGGGAAACTGGCTTGTGACTATAACCCGGCCTTGAACACTGACAGGAAACAATTTCCAGCTTTCCAGCTTCATCTTGTTTCCCATCCCCTCCCACGAGTTGCCGGTGTCCCCCTGCCCTCCCCCTCACCCAAGGGAGAGTGTGGCCCCATCCCCATGTAGGGGGATGCTGTGTGGGGGGAGTGAAACTCCACAGGCAGCTCTGGGTGAGGAGCAAAGGTGCTGCCAGCCCAGCTGTGAGCATATGTGACACCCTGACTACAGTGCCTGAGCTTTTCCTCTTCCTATTGTATCTTCCAGGATATTACCTACCTCCGCATCCCCCTGCCTGACACCCCTGAGGCCAACATGTGAGTACCCCGAGGAGACCAAGGAATGCTCGAGGGCTGGGGTCTGCAGGGCAACCAGGGATGAGGGCTCACAGCACCCCAAGCCCTTGAGGTGCTGCCTCCAGCTCCTCAAGCACAGTGACCCACAGGCTAAAGGTGTGATGCTGCAGTGCTGGGGACCACCCCTGGACCCCGACAGCATCCCAGTTCAGTGACCACTGTGAATGGCTCCAAGCCCTGTGGTGAGGCAATGGGCAGCCCCTCTGCAGCACCCATGGACAGGAGCAGCAAGCACCCTTCTGGGAGTTGCCTGGAGGGGGAAAGCAGGTAAAGGGTAAGGAGCCAGCTAAGGGTGCTGGAGTGGCTGAAGGTGTGAGCAACCAACATCCCACTGCCCCAGCACGAGTCACATGAGTCACAGGGCAGCCCTGTCCCCAGCACAGTGTCCTCTGCTGCGTTCCCAGCATGGCATGAGCTGGTAGACCCACCTTCCCTTGGGAATCAACAGCACTGAGCTGCTCAGGTCTCAGCAGTGGCTGGCAGAGCCCCTAAAGCAACTCAAACACACAGGGCTGCTCTGCCTGTGGCCAAAAATCCTGTTCCACCCCTGAAGTTCTTATTCTGTCTGTTTTATTTTTCCTGCTAGCAAGAGGCACTTCAAGGAATGCATCAGTTTTATCCACCAGTGTCGCCTGCATGGAGGGAACTGCCTCGTCCACTGGTAATGCTTCTTCCCCCATGCCTGCTGCTGTGTTTCCTCAGCTCAGCAGAGATCCAGCCCCTCACTTGGGCTGCAGACCCCTGATCAAAGCCAGCCTGTGCCAGAGGGCTCCGTGCCCACAGATCCACCCAGGATCCACCCTTGGCTGCAGCTTGTGACTCAAATCCAGCGGGATGCAGGCAGTCCTGGAGCCAGGGCAGTTTCTTGCTGCAGCTGAGCATGTGGGATGAGCGAGGTTTGGGGCAGGCAGCCAGGCAGTGGCCGCTGCTCCCATTCCCTGGGGAGGAGTGGGTATTTATAGGCACTGATGGCCAGGACCTTGGAAGGGCTCAGACCTCCGGGAGAGCAAGTCCTTGGAAAAGAGGAACTGCAATTACTGAGGCACAGGGGTGGAGGAAGAGGGGAGTGTTGGTTCAGGGTGCGCCACCAACCCAAGCCCTTCTGCACTTTCCCTCGCCAGCCTCGCTGGCATCTCCCGCAGTACCACCGTGGTCGTTGCGTACGTCATGGTCGTCACGGAGCTGAGCTGCCAGGAGGTGCTGGATGCCATCAGAACCATCCGGCCCGTCGCCAACCCCAACCCTGGCTTCAGGCAGCAGCTGTCTGAGTTTGGTGGCAGCGCAGCCCGCAAGGTGGGACCAACCTCTGCCACCCTGTGCTCTGCTCTGCTGAGCCTGCCATGGGCCTCAGAGCAAGGACAGGTCCTGAGGGGACTCCGTTTCTTCCCCACTCCCTTTTCTGGCAGGCTTGGACCTGCCCTTGGAAACCGGCACCTTATTTTGCTTCTCACTCCTTCCCCAGGTCCGCAGGCACCTGAAGCAGAGGTATGGGACATCCCCTTTCAATGATGAGGAAGAAATAAAGGCCTTGCTGCCAGCAGGGAGAGAAGGAACATCCAGGACAGAGGGAGCTCAGCAAGGACTGGTCCCAAGAGCCAGAGACATCAGAAGCACAAGTCCCTTCCTGCTGCGGGTGAAGAGGACGTTCTCCTGCATCCCAGCTTGTCTGAAGTGACCCCAGCCAAGGGAGAGCAGCGAGAATCACCCAACAGCCTGGGAGAGATGAAGGACACAACACAGTGGGATGAGGAGCGCTGGGCAGGGACCTGCACCAAACCCATCTCCTTCTTCTCTTCTGGGCTGGGAGCATGCCACACTCTGTGTGGGTGGGATTCCTGGGCACTGCTGGACTTTGCAGCACATGCTGGGCTCATCCTCTTTGCATCTGGCATGCTGGGGACGCAGGTCTCTGCCCCCAAGTCACTGCAGGCTCGGGCCAGAACACAGAGGGGGTCTCTCCTGCCACAGGCCAGCACCCAGGTGTTGCCAGCAGCAGCTTTAGCACTTGGGTACCCACTGCACAGGCCTCAGGGTGCACAGGGTGCAGGAGAGCTGGCGCTCCCCTCAGAGCAGTTTTCCCACCAGCAGCACAAGCTCCCAGCGCCCAGGTGGCTGCGGAGCAGGGACACACCGGTGTGTCAGCAGGTAATGCCACCACACTGGCTCCTAGGCGAGGGTCCAGCTCCAACTTGGCCAAGCACAAGCCCTGAGCAAGCACTGTAGCTTTAGGAATCCATTGCACCCCATTCCTGCCCATTCCAGGGCACAATCTGCAACAGGTGGGAACCAAGCGTTTAACCTGGCCAGACCTCACTAGAGCCTTAAGCCATTTTGCTTAAAGACTTTCTATGTCCCCGAGTAATAAACGCCCCTTCTCTGCGGTCTGACTCCCCTGTGGTGGCTGGGTTGGAATAGGGATGCTGAGGAGGAAGGTCCTGGTGTGGGGTCCCCCTCTCCTCCCAGCTCCTGCCAGGCTGCTATTCCAATTCCCTCACTTCCAGGCCAGGGCTCTCTGGCACCCTTTGGCCCCCCAGCACCCAGCAGGGTGGTTGCCCTGCACCCCAGGACCACACACCTGGGATGGATGTGTGCCTCATGCACAGCTGCACCCTCCCATGCTGGGACACACTATGCCAAGGTGTTTACACGCAGGGATTCCCCTGTTCCCACTGTAAACACAGGGCTGTGGCCCCTCCAGCCCAGCTCAGCAGCACAGCAAAACGTATTTATTTTGGCAGATCTGGTTTGCACAACTTGGAAAACCCCGGGCGAGGGCAGGGTTAGCCATGAGTTAATGTTTGACTCCTTTTTGAAGCTCATTTCTGCGTGAAAAGTTTAAGGGTTAAGCAGCTTCACCTTCCCCGCGCAGGGAGCAGCACAGTGGGGAATCCGGTGTGGAATCCGGCTCCTGATCCTCCTCGCTGATGCCCGGGTAATTAGATCCCCCGGGTCCCGCGTCACCACGCGGCTGTCACAGCACATGAAATCCCCGGCCGATAAAGCTTATCCCAGGGGGCCGGGGCTGGCAAAAGAGCCGGCGGCTGCGATTATCTCCCGGCCTTGAATGTAATCTGTGCAAGCCACTGAGAGGCTGTGCAATGACCCCTTGCCATTGCTCCACTTCCCAAGGCAGAAAGGGGACGTGTGGGTTCTCTGGCCGTCAGTCCCAGGCCCTTTTCCCGGAATGTGGCCCCCCGGCACGCCCAGCAGAGAGGTGCAGGGGCTGCCTGGGCTTTGCTCTGCATTAGAGGGGCCCCGGACAGGCTCAGTAAGGAGAGAAAACCCCTGCCTGTGTGGCCCCATGTGCCCTCTGTGCCACGTGGCCATGTCCCATCCCCACGTCCTTTTGGAAAGCCCAAGCCGGGGCGCTCTGCTGCTGATTATTCATTTGGAGACTTTGCAGCCCCAGCAGCTCTCTGGAGCCTCGTTTCTCCTCCCTGCGAGAGGTGAATTTCTCTGACTCAGAGCTGGAAAAAGGACCTGAGGGGCTGCAAAAGGTGGCCTGGGGGGCTGCAGCAGGGCAGAGGAGCTGGGTTTTGCTGCACAGTGACATGGGGCTCTGCAGCAGTGATGGAGGAGCCAAGACTAGTGTCACCGCAGGGTGGACCAGTGACCCAGCCCGTGCCCTGCTGGGGGCCAGCGGGGAGCTGGTGCAGGATGAGTCAGGCTTCCTCCCCGGCCCCGGCAGCCCTTGGTGCAGCTCATCCGCCCTTCCCACCCTGTTCCTGTTCCACTCAGGGCGCAGAGCCCCGCGAGACAGACGTTAGCAGGGACAGATAAGAACAGAGGAGAGATCTGAGAGATGGGAACATGTGACTGCTCACACCACCCTGGAAACCCCGTGCTGTTCCCACAGCTCCCCCCATTCACGGGATGACCTGCTGGTCCCTGGGGCTGGGAGGTGTTTGGATCCTCAAAGCAGGAGGATGGGGGAGCAGGGTCCCTTGCCCTCTTTGAGGAGCAAGTGAGAGTCCTAAAAGTCTAAGGGAAGGCACACGGGAGGGGTACAGGGGAGTTCCACGTGCTTTCTAGTGCCCTATCCCCTCTCTCATGGATGCAGTGTGCCTGTCCCCTCCTCTGTGGGTGTAGGGTGCCTGTGTTGAGAAATACACCTAGTGCGAGTATTTAGGTAGGTAAACTACCAGCGCGAGCTGCACATTGTGTTCTGGGTGACAGGAAAAGGCTGAGCCTTAGGCAACAGCAGGGAATGGGCACCCACCCCTTCCCTCCACCTGCGGCACAGGCCGGGCTGGAGGTCGATCACCCAGGACCCTGCAGGAGCCAATGAGCAACAGAAAGAGCCTAAAATCTCCATTGGTGTTCATGGGTGCACTGACTGTGAGGGCATGAAACCCCCGGGATGCCTTTGTTGGGGGTCCCTCCCGGAGTCCCACCGCTGTACTGCTCAATTACTGCACCGCTTGTTCCTGAACTCGGATGTCAGACACCGCTGCGGGAAACCTGAGGCCAAGAAAAAATTTAAGAACCGTCCCCTCTGCCGTGGAGCAGCCAGAGCCGGCAGCGTGGGCCGGGAAAAGGAAAGTGAAAGCCGGAGCCGCTTTCGGTTTCGGCGCCGGGCCGCGATGGCGGAGCCGGGGGCGCCCATGCGGCTGAAGGAGTGGCTGATCGCGCAGATCGACAGCGGCCGGTACCCGGGGCTGCGCTGGGAGAACCGGCACCGGACGCTCTTCCGCATCCCCTGGAAGCACGCGGCCAAGCAGGATTACCGGCAGCAGCAGGACGCCGCACTCTTCAAGGTACCCCGGGCTCCCCGCGATCGCCACCTGGCCCTGGGAGCGCCCCCGGGACTCGCCCCCCGGGGCTCCGTGCGCACCCCCGGAGCTCATCATTGCCTGGGGCTCCCTGCTGCTCAGCTCCGTGTGCTCCCCTGGGACCCCCCAGCACCCAGGTCCCCACAGCCCCCCAGGACACATAGCCCTGGTTCCCCACGGTCCCCCCCAGCCCTGGTGCATTCGTACCGCGGAGGGCCCCCTTGGGCAGCAGAGCGGGGGGCCAGGGTGTGGGCAGCCCCCGCAGCACAGGGCACCCTCTGTCCCCCAGGCTTGGGCCATCTACAAAGGGAAGTACCAGGAAGGGACGGACAAGGCTGATCCCTCCACCTGGAAGACTCGTCTCCGCTGTGCCCTCAACAAGAGCACCGACTTCCAGGAGGTGCCTGAGCGGAGCCAGCTGGATATCTCTGAGCCTTACAAGGTGTACCAGATCGTGACTGACAGAGCCTGTGATGCAGGTATGTCCCTGTTGTCCGTCCTCTTGTGCCAGATGTGGGGTTGCTGCCTGCACCATGACTGTACGAGCCCCGTGTCCTGCAGACATCACCCTTCCTTCCTACTCCTCTTCCTCTCTGGGTGTCCTGGGCAGCCACCTGTCTTCTCTGGGGCTGTTCCTGCTGTTTGCCAGGGGCTCATCGTTTTTTCCTTGCTCTCTGCAGAGGACAGTGACACCCAGTCCCCAGGCAGTGAGGACCAGCAGGTGAGCTCACCCAGTGCCATCCGGGCAGGGGAGAAGGTGGGACCCCCAAAACTCCCCTTGTCTGTCGTCTGTCAGCTGCTCTCCTGGCTGCACACTGCCCGTGTCTGTCCCATGGGGCATTGCTGAGAGTCCCTTGTGCCATGCAGCTGCCAGACTCTGGCAGGGGATCTGCTGGTGCGTGGGGTCCATGGCAGAGGCAGGAGCCAGCTCAGAGACCCCTGCTGCCAGCTCAGCCCTCACTGAAGCCACTCCTACCCCCAGGGCAGCACTGCAGGGAGTCTAAAGAAGGAGGAAAGCCAGAAAGACACACTGGAGACAGACCACGGATCTCCACAGCCCCTGCTCTCTGCCCATCCAACTGAGAGAGGTGAGGAGGGTCCCCGTTGAGAGGATGGGGCTGGGGTGAGGGAGCACACACTTCCCAGCAGGAGAGATCCTGCTCTCCTGCTCTGTGCAGGCAACACCTGTGGGGATGAAGACAGGGGCCGGGGACTCCCTCCTGGCCCCAGCAAAGCCACTTAATCACGTACTCAGGGGCTCTTATGAAGCCCAGTAATGAGCAAACACGGTGCAAAGGACCCTGCTGCCCACCAGGCCAGGAGAGCACCTGGGAGTCCTCGAGGACAACTGCCCATAGCCCTTTACCACCTCATCTCTGCCCTGGTCCAGGGTACCTCGTGAGGGGAGTCTTCTACAGCTGGAACCCAACCCATGGCCAGTTCCTCCCTAGACCCCAGTCCTACGTCCCTGTGGAAGATGTCAACAACTCAGGTAGGAGCCACACTGGTGGGCAATGCCTTGGGTGGCCCCACCAGCCCGGGCTGCCCACGGGCTGACTCTCCCCTCGCCCCAGATTGCTGGCTCCACATCCGCCTCTACTACTGCGACGTGCTGGTGAAGGAGGTGACCACCCGCACGGCCGAGGGCTGTCGCACTCACCAGCAGTGCCGTGCCGGCCGACAGCGAGCGCCTCTACGGCCCCTCCTGCATGGAGCAGACGAGTTCCCCCGCCCCGCAGGCTCTCAGTGCCACGGCCAACGCGGCCGCCATGGCCAACGTGCTGGAGCGGCTCCTGCCCCACCTGGAGCGCGGGGTGCTGCTGTGGGTAGCGCCCGAGGGGGTCTTCATGAAGCGCCAGTGCCAGGGCAGGGTGTACTGGAACGGGCCACTGGCCCCACACAGGAACTGGCCCAACAAGCTGGAGAGGGAGAAGACCTACAAGCTGCTGGACACGCAGCAGTACCTGCAGCGTAAGTCCCACCCTGCCACCCCAGGAGATCCCAATCCCCTTGGGAAACAGGGCAGGTCCTGGCCTGGCATGGCTGCTCGAGGCCGTGGGGACCCACTGACCCCTGACAGGGTTGGTGTCTTGCAGAGCTGCGGGAGTACCTGAGCAATGGGCAGCTCATGCCACAGTACCAGATCCACCTGTGCTTCGGGGAGGAATACCCCACCAGAGCCGGGCACCCCTTCCAGAAGCTCATCATGGCCCACGTGAGTACACACCGGGGCTGGTGACCCTGAGCCAGGCACCGGGACCGTCGCAGTGGGGGATACAGACGTGTGCCTATTCCATCACTCTGTGCCTCTGCAGGTGGAGCCGGTGTTCGCACGGGAGCTCTTCCATCACGCCCAGCGCTTGAGGCCAACGCTGCTCCGCAACTCCCCCCAGCCCTGTGCCCCTGGCACCTCCAGCCACGTTATTCATGTCCTCAAACAGCTCTGCCAGCCCTGAGCCGGGCAGGAGACGAGAGCTCAGTCACCATAAAGTCTCAGAGCAGGAGGCTCTGAGCCCCATGGCCTTACTCCAGCTGTGTGTCCTGAGGCAGAGTGCACGGGGTGCTCAGCATGAGGAACCAGATGCAGGCAGGTTCTGGTCAGGGTGGGCAGGCACTGCTGCCCTCGTGAGTGCTGTATTTATTGCCCAGGAGGTCCCCAGGTGGGATTTGCTGTGTGCCTGTTCAGCCAGTTGGGGCAGAGCCAGCTCCATCCTTGCACCACTGGGACTTGCCATTTGTGAAACTTAGAAATAAAGGTTGTGTTTTAGTACCAGTGTCAGGGGCTGGCTCTGGTGTGGGGGACTGGTGCCATTATGAGGGGAGCACAGGTGGCTGGGGAAGCCAAGTCTGCACAGTGTGGACAAAGCCAACTCAGCCCCAGCCACAAGGGAACAGCTCTGTTCATGTGGTGGCTCCAGACCCATCCTGCCCCTCATGCAAGCGCCTTGGCAGGGCTGAAGGCAGCAGTGAGGTGCCCGTTAGCTGCCCTGATGAACTGGCAACATGGGAGCCTGTCCCAAAGGCACGCCCTGCCTGTGCCTCAGTTTCCCCTGGTGAGTGGAGTGAGTGGGCTCCTGAGGGCCATTCTGCAGCCTGAGGGTTGGGAATGGTGCAGGGACCTGGCACAGCACAGGATCTGCACAAGCCCAGGCTGAGAGCAGGGGCTGAGGCACTGGGGTAGGCAGGGGGCAGATGGGCATCTGAGGGCAGGCAGCACCCTCAGCTCTGCCAGCATCCCTCCACTGAGCCCCGCTCCAGGCCCAGCTGGAGCCCGGCGGTGCACTGTGAGCAGGGCAG